AAGTTAGCACCCATGCCTCTGCAGATTCTACTGGCTTTGGACCATGTCTTACAAGTATCACTGGTGTAGTAACAGGAGCCATTGTAGAAACTCCAACCTGGCTCACACACATCTGAGTTAGGTAGAAACAACAAAAGTTCGTTTGAACTTGAACTTCTTAACAAATAGCATACTGGAACTCTGTTCAAAAATATTATCGTATGAAAGAGTGTTGTTCATTATTATTATAAAATTATAGAGTAATTGTTAGTTTGTTAACTACATCATCATGTCTTTATCGATAGCAGTCGTTTCATCAACAAATTGATGGCGAAAATTTGAAACAAGCCATCAAACGTCCATTTACTGGTATACTCATACATTAGCTTATGCCTTCCTCCCTTTCGAGTAACAATTCACGTTTAGGAAAAATTTAGGTTAGATTAATTGCAAAAGATTTGTCTTATTTAATCATCAAAGCTTGCTATGTATCAGACGTGATATACCCAACCTGGCATAACTGCATATGAAACTGAGAGAGGATCATGTTGGTTGACAAATAACTCCTTCACGCATGCTCTGAAGCCAGTCTTGTTGATGTACTACAAAGGCAAAGAGGAATGCAATCTAACGGCTGAGAAGATCACAGTTAGAGAGCCGTAAAAAGCTTAGCGGTGATGTAAAAACAAAGCGAATTGTTTACAGAGTTCAGTGGATAAAAGTTAACTTCAAAATTGATATCCTTTTGTACCCACATTGCACCATTTTGAGCAAAGATCAGACATAACTTGCCTCAGCCCAAGCTGATATGGAGTTATATATTGGATTAAGGTTTCCTCCATTCGTTGAGTGGTTGGCAGATACCAGAATGGCTGGGGAGTCGTTGTAGGGCTTCTTAAAAACAACATCCTATTCAAAGTAATTAAAGGAAAACAAAACAAAACAAAACAGCAAAAATTCTATTGAACACAAAGTAGCTAAGAATGCACCTGACAATACCTCTATGTTTCTAAAAGATCTTTTTTTTTAGAATATTAGTTGAATCATCGCAAGAGAGCAATTGAAAACTGAAATGAGCAAACCCATCGAGTTACTCTGCTCTGGGGTACTTATTTTGTATGTCGGGTAGACGGCTTTCATGAGCTTTGGAAGGTAAAAAAGCCGTAGTGATAGCTCGTGGATTGGTGGGTGTGTTTCATATCAAATTCTAGTATACAGATCATGAAAAGTCGTTAAAAGATAAATAGTAATTGGCTAATCGAGTGTGTAAGTGAGTAGGTAAGTTATCAACATTGAGTAAATGAGTGGGTGATTGAGTATGCGTGTATATGACCGAGTGCCGACTGAGTGACTGAATGGTTAAGTGTTCGAGTGAACGCTTGAGTGAGTGTGTGAGTAAGTTAATGATTCAGTAAGTGAGTTCACAATTAAGTGAGTAAGTGTGTGCATCGTGTGTGAGTGAGGGAAATGGTTGAGAGAGTACAATTGAAAAAGTGTCAATATAAGTCATGTGAACCAAACATACCTCGCAAAAAGCATAGTTAAACTCTTTGGATGGTTTTTTCCCGTTTGTAAAGTATAATGAGCCATGCTCCATAAACAAGGGTTGATGAAGCTCTTCAAATGCCATCCAGTCCTTTTACAAAAACAAAGGCAAAACCAGATAAGAAGAGAACAAATTCATCTTTGATCACAGGCAGCCCAAGCTCACTACTAGAAAAGCGGACTTGACTCTTACAGTGTTGCGCAGCGTTTTATATTTATAAAGGTTTGTATGGGATGTTATCGGTTTGCCT